CACGTGGGTGGCCAGGCCGTTGTGGCCGCCTCATACAGCCCCTACAAATAAAGCAACGGGGCAGTAGTAAACTAGGAGCACACGCATGCCAACTACCATAACCAAACTGTCGTAGAACACATGGGTGGCCAGGCCGTTGTGGCCGCCTCATACAGCCCCTACAAATAAAGCAACGGGGTAGTAGTAAACTAGGAGCACACGCATGCCAACTACCATAACCAAACTGTCGTAGAACACATGGGTGGCCAGGCCGTTGTGGCCGCCTCATACAGCCCCTGCAAAGCAACGGGGCAGTAGTAAACTAGGAGCACACGCATGCCAACTACCATAACCAAACTGTCGTAGAACACGTGGGTGGCCAGGCCGTTGTGGCCGCCTCATACAGCCCCTACAAATAAAGCAACGGGGCAGTAGTAAACTAGGAGCACACGCATGCCAACTACCATAACCAAACTGTCGTAGAACACATGGGTGGCCAGGCCGTTGTGGCCGCCCTCATACAGCCCCTACAAATAAAGCAACGGGGCAGTAGTAAACTAGGAGCACACGCATGCCAACTACCATAACCAAACTGTCGTAGAACACATGGGTGGCCAGGCCGTTGTGGCCGCCTCATACAGCCCCTACAAATAAAGCAACGGGGCAGTAGTAAACTAGGAGCACACGCATGCCAACTACCATAACCAAACTGTCGTAGAACACATGGGTGGCCAGGCCGTTGTGGCCGCCTCATACAGCCCCTGCAAAGCAACAGGGCAGTAGTAAACTAGGAGCACACGCATGCCAACTACCATAACCAAACTGTTGTAGAACACGTGGGTGGCCAGGCCGTTGTGGCCGCCTCATACAGCCCCTACAAATAAAGCAACGGGGCAGTAGTAAACTAGGAGCACACGCATGCCAACTACCATAACCAAACTGTCGTAGAACACATGGGTGGCCAGGCCGTTGTGGCCGCCCTCATACAGCCCCTACAAAGCAACGGGGCAGTAGTAAACTAGGAGCACACGCATGCCAACTACCATAACCAAACTGTTGTAGAACACGTGGGTGGCCAGGCCGTTGTGGCCGCCTCATACAGCCCCTACAAATAAAGCAACGGGGCAGTAGTAAACTAGGAGCACACGCATGCCAACTACCATAACCAAACTGTCGTAGAACACATGGGTGGCCAGGCCGTTGTGGCCGCCTCATACAGCCCCTACAAATAAAGCAACGGGGTAGTAGTAAACTAGGAGCACACGCATGCCAACTACCATAACCAAACTGTCGTAGAACACATGGGTGGCCAGGCCGTTGTGGCCGCCTCATACAGCCCCTGCAAAGCAACGGGGCAGTAGTAAACTAGGAGCACACGCATGCCAACTACCATAACCAAACTGTCGTAGAACACGTGGGTGGCCAGGCCGTTGTGGCCGCCTCATACAGCCCCTACAAATAAAGCAACGGGGTAGTAGTAAACTAGGAGCACACGCATGCCAACTACCATAACCAAACTGTTGTAGAACACGTGGGTGGCCAGGCCGTGGTGGCCGCCTCATACAGCCCCTACAAAGCAACGGGGCAGTAGTAAACTAGGAGCACACGCATGCCAACTACCATAACCAAACTGTCGTAGAACACGTGGGTGGCCAAGCGGTGCCTCGCTTGCCCTGTGTATGGGACCTAGACATGACGGAAGTCAGGCCGTGGTGGCCGCCCTCATACAGCCCCTACAATTAAAGCAACGGGGGCAGTAGTAAACTAGGAGCACACGCATGCCAACTACCATAACCAAACTGTCGTAGAACACATGGGTGGCCAGGCCGTTGTGGCCGCCTCATACAGCCCCTACAAAGCAACGGGGCAGTAGTAAACTAGGAGCACACGCATGCCAACTACCATAACCAAACTGTCGTAGAACACATGGGTGGCCAGGCCGTTGTGGCCGCCTCATACAGCCCCTACAAATAAAGCAACGGGGTAGTAGTAAACTAGGAGCACACGCATGCCAACTACCATAACCAAACTGTCGTAGAACACATGGGTGGCCAGGCCGTGGTGGCCGCCTCATACAGCCCCTACAAATAAAGCAACGGGGTAGTAGTAAACTAGGAGCACACGCATGCCAACTACCATAACCAAACTGTCGTAGAACACATGGGTGGCCAGGCCGTTGTGGCCGCCTCATACAGCCCCTACAAATAAAGCAACGGGGCAGTAGTAAACTAGGAGCACACGCATGCCAACTACCATAACCAAACTGTCGTAGAACACGTGGGTGGCCAGGCCGTTGTGGCCGCCCTCATACAGCCCCTACAAATAAAGCAACGGGGCAGTAGTAAACTAGGAGCACACGCATGCCAACTACCATAACCAAACTGTTGTAGAACACGTGGGTGGCCAGGCCGTTGTGGCCGCCTCATACAGCCCCTACAAATAAAGCAACGGGGCAGTAGTAAACTAGGAGCACACGCATGCCAACTACCATAACCAAACTGTCGTAGAACACGTGGGTGGCCAGGCCGTTGTGGCCGCCTCATACAGCCCCTACAAATAAAGCAACGGGGTAGTAGTAAACTAGGAGCACACGCATGCCAACTACCATAACCAAACTGTCGTAGAACACATGGGTGGCCAGGCCGTTGTGGCCGCCTCATACAGCCCCTGCAAAGCAACAGGGCAGTAGTAAACTAGGAGCACACGCATGCCAACTACCATAACCAAACTGTTGTAGAACACGTGGGTGGCCAGGCCGTTGTGGCCGCCTCATACAGCCCCTACAAATAAAGCAACGGGGCAGTAGTAAACTAGGAGCACACGCATGCCAACTACCATAACCAAACTGTCGTAGAACACATGGGTGGCCAGGCCGTTGTGGCCGCCCTCATACAGCCCCTACAAAGCAACGGGGCAGTAGTAAACTAGGAGCACACGCATGCCAACTACCATAACCAAACTGTTGTAGAACACGTGGGTGGCCAGGCCGTTGTGGCCGCCTCATACAGCCCCTACAAATAAAGCAACGGGGCAGTAGTAAACTAGGAGCACACGCATGCCAACTACCATAACCAAACTGTCGTAGAACACATGGGTGGCCAGGCCGTTGTGGCCGCCTCATACAGCCCCTACAAATAAAGCAACGGGGTAGTAGTAAACTAGGAGCACACGCATGCCAACTACCATAACCAAACTGTCGTAGAACACATGGGTGGCCAGGCCGTTGTGGCCGCCTCATACAGCCCCTGCAAAGCAACGGGGCAGTAGTAAACTAGGAGCACACGCATGCCAACTACCATAACCAAACTGTCGTAGAACACGTGGGTGGCCAGGCCGTTGTGGCCGCCTCATACAGCCCCTACAAATAAAGCAACAAGGTAGTAGTAAACTAGGAGCCCACGCATGCCAACCTCCATAACCAAACTGTTGTAGAACACGTGGGTGGCCAGGCCGTGGTGGCCGCCTCATACAGCCCCTGCAAAGCAACGGGGCAGTAGTAAACTAGGAGCACACGCATGCCAACTACCATAACCAAACTGTCGTAGAACACATGGGTGGCCAGGCCGTGGTGGCCGCCCTCATACAGCCCCTACAAATAAAGCAACGGGGGCAGTAGTAAACTAGGAGCACACGCATGCCAACTACCATAACCAAACTGTCGTAGAACACATGGGTGGCCAGGCCGTGGTGGCCGCCTCATACAGCCCCTACAAAGCAACGGGGCAGTAGTAAACTAGGAGCACACGCATGCCAACTACCATAACCAAACTGTCGTAGAACACGTGGGTGGCCAAGCGGTGCCTCGCTTGCCCTGTGTATGGGACCTAGACATGACGGAAGTCAGGCCGTGGTGGCCGCCCTCATACAGCCCCTACAAATAAAGCAACGGGGGCAGTAGTAAACTAGGAGCACACGCATGCCAACTACCATAACCAAACTGTCGTAGAACACATGGGTGGCCAGGCCGTTGTGGCCGCCTCATACAGCCCCTACAAAGCAACGGGGCAGTAGTAAACTAGGAGCACACGCATGCCAACTACCATAACTGGATACTACAGACCACCACTGCCACCATTCCAAACAACAACCCCCCCGCAAATTCGTCAGTTTTCCTTGTTCCCCCCCGCATCTACTGCACTGCGCAATCAGTCCCCATCACCTAGTTAACCCGGATGCCAGTTCCCGCAGCCGTATCGCTATAAAACGCATATAGTCTCCCGCGGCTTTATTAGAGTTGGGGCCGCATGCATGCTGCAAGCGACCTCCAGGGGTTTTGACGAGGGCTGCGGCAGCCAGATCCAGAAGTCTGCGTACCACTTCAAATGACGGCATCACGGCGCCTTCAGCCCATGCATTCTGAACTTCTTCCACCAGGGACCTGCACTCGGCTACCAGCTGAGTCTGTACCGCGCAAACGGTAGGGCCCACGGCACTGGTGCGGAAGAGGACTGTGGCTAAGGTTGCTCCGAAGCTGTATACGTCAAACGCCAGGGTGTGGTAGGTGGTGGTAGCCTGTGGGTCGGGCTGACCCTCGGCTTCTGGGGGCCGGTAGCCAGGGGTGCCCACCTGCAACGTGACAACCAAAGGAAACCATAACTGATGACACCACTGTCACAAAGGTTGCATTGCTGACCGTACGAAATATGGCAACGCGTGGGAACAGCCGTTTCACCTTCTATCCGTATGATAAACCTATTGTTTCCGTTAAGTTCAGTCCCATTGAAGCACTCCAGTGGTTCAACTTACCAAGCCAAACCGCGTGCCGGACTCCACGGTCACATCATAGTCTGCTAGTAAACCGACGACGCCGTGACCACGATCAGTGACCTGCAAAAAAGCAGCGAAGATCCAATTGGGTGGTGGTGGCGGCGGTGTGGGAGGAGGGGGGTCCAGAGGGGGGCTCGGAAGTGGAAGCCAGGGGGGCTCTTTCACTGTCAGCCGCCACCCCATTGTACATCCCTCCACCTTGCTCTAAGGGTTACTATCAGCAAACAAGAGGACATGCTCACCAGGATGTTAGCAGGCTTGATATCCCTGTGAACCAGCCCTGCGTCGTGCAACACTGCAGCGCCATTGGCGGCGTCAGCAAGCAGCCCGACAACCTGCTGGAGTGGCAGGTTGGGTCCTGGCGGTTCCAGGCTGCCATGGGTCGCCTCCTCCCAGACCAGACCAGTTACCGATCCCGCCGGGCTATGGGCTATCCCTACGAGCTGCAACAGGTTCTCAGAACAGCAGGTCATCCCCACTGTGATGTTCTGCCGGATAGCACGAAGGACGTCGGTACTGGTGCTTGGGCCCAGTGTAAACCGCTTGATGGCCACCCTGCGTGCGGAAGCTGTAACACCAGCTGTTACCGAGCCAAACCCGCCCGCTCCAAGCTTGATCCAACCGGCGCCGGCCGCTGGCCGCAACCGAGATGCGGCCCGCTCCATTTCGCGCACCTCATCCAGGCTGTACCGCAGCACGGGCTCCATTGTACGCTGAGGGATCAGGACGGGTGGAACAAAGTCTTGCGGTCAAAGGTGATCGTACATGTAGGTAAATACGGTTTAGTGATCATGGGTTAGTCACTGCATTTAGGCATACATCCGAAATATCTTACGTATACGACAGTTCTTTTTCTCACATTGAAGGAAAGTGGTTGGATGGAGAGAACCAAGCAGGTCTCCCGCTTAGTGGCCTTGCTGTGTCACAAATCCTATTCACAAATCGAAAAAAAACGAAACGGGGTTTAGGGGCCAATGGAGGCCAGCAGGCTTGCCAATCTGCATGGAGGGCGCGTTTCACAGTTCGTGGTACACACTCCGCAAGCATCATGGCTTAAGTGGTGTCCTTTGCCCCGTACAGGTACGGGAACGGCGTGCCACATGGACCGCACGGAGGCGTTCAACGTGTTGTTCGCCCCTGAGCGGGAGGACGTGGATGCGTCAAAGCCGTGCGCGCTGTGGACATTTGTACGCCCAAGTGCCATTGGGGCGTTTGGTGATTTCCTCAGCAAGCACCCTGCATCGCCCGGCGTCGACAAAAGCGCAAAGAAGGACAAGAAGGACAGCAGTGTCGTCGAGTGGGAACTACTGGCTGCAGCAACCTTGAAGGAGAAACGGCTGTCACCTGATGGCTCCCGCAATGCATTTCACGGTGGGCCTCTTGTGGATGGGGGCAGTGCGAACGTGTTCCGGCCATTCGTGCGTGACGTGAACGAGTTGAGGGCGGCTCTAGGGGAGAATAACGTGGTGGTGATTGAGCAGTACCATGGTGATGTCGTGCACGTGCCGGCAGGATGGATACATCAGGTGGAAAACGTGCAGGCCTGCCTGAAGCTTGCCTGGGATACTCTCAACCCCCGGCGTTTGGTGCATTACTTTGGAGTGCAACGCCTGGTGGTGCACCACGGGCTGTGGGGCTATAGCCCTGAAGACTACATGGCGATAGAGGCTGTACTTGCAAAGGCCATTCCAGAGATCATGAGGCATGTCCAATCAAAGTGAGGGGTGTAGGTACTTTGCACTGTCAAAGGGCCCCGTGGACAGCACAATCGCTTGTAGGTAATTGTGTGGGTGTTGTTTGGGATGTACAGACGCAGTCTTAGGCTTAGCTTTACTCCGGGTGCCTGCTGCATCCGATTGGCAGCGGGTGCGTTGGGATGGGAGGGGACTGCTGTACGGACCGGAAAGGTGGCGTTCTCAAGGCTGCAGCCAGCTAGGGGGCTGCAGGCTTAGCTTTTCACCGGGTGACTGCTTTTCCTTTAAGAATGCTGGCAGCGTTTGCGTTGTGATGGGAGGGGACTGCTCGCCGTACGGACTGGAAGGGTGGAGTCGGACTGGAAGGGTGGAATCCTCAAGGCTTTAGGGCTGAATTGTAACTGCTGGGTTTTATTGCTAAAGCTTGCGCGTGTGTTTCCCTCGGTAATACGGCGTCGTATACCTAGGTCTACATTTTAAAATGTTCGCACTAAGCCATACGAACAACATGCTTTGCCTGACGTGCGCTGAGGGTGTCATGCAGACGCGTCGTGCACAAAGGCGCATGTGAGTTCGGGGATTAGGCGGGCGGGGGCCATGAGTGAGGGCTGCGAGTATGCACCGGCTAGTGTGTTATGTCAATGCGGTGTGTTCCAGACGGTTGCAAACCCAATACCAATGTAGTTTGTTACACTGACAGCATTCGATTTGCCTATGGCAAGGCCTTAATTGCGCTGATTAGCAGACTGCAGTGCGACCGCAATGGTCACTGTTGAAAGCCGGGAGCGCGCACTCCACGAACAGCGCCATGAAAACTATGACTATGCTGTATTAACCAGCAGCTGCTGAGCATTTCAGAGGCTTTCGTATGCAAATGCGCCACACTGAGCATACTGAGCACACTGAGCAGGGTGTGCCGGATTGCATCCTTCCATGCTGTGCACAAGATTGTAAGTCAAGATCAGTTTGGCAGTAAATAGAAACATCAGATGTAACCTCTGATATGCTTAATGGGGGCTTAGTGGACCTCGTTGCTTACTTGAAGCCTTCCCTTCAACCACTCCGTACTGTAATGGCTATGATGCCTTTGGCAATTCCTGAACTTGTGCTCGCCGATTGTTATAGAAACATTCGATTAGACTTACAATACAAGAACGTGTAGGCCAATTGTGTAGCGAATGGGCCCCTCTGACCTGGACGCGGAGCGTGAAGCGACCATGGCTAGGAACAATGCCATTCTGGACGAGATTGGCTTAGGAAATGCCTGCAAGGAGTTCAAGGATGCTGCGGCTAAACTTAGGCCAGTGTCGGGCAAGAAGCGGCAACAAAGCACTAAAGGTCCGCCACTCCGCAAGTCTTCCCGTCTGGAGGGGCGACCCCAGCCAGGCAACGACCAGGAAGTTAGCAACGAAGATGAGGAGAATGAGGCTGCTGTAAGCCTGGATTCTGAGGAGGAGAAGAACGGGACGGTAAGCAATTGACCTCGTTTGACCGTGGCAATTCGTTCATAATCAGCCACATTTCGTTGAAAATAGCATGTAACTTTCAGGTAACGGACGGCGACGAGGCACCTGAGCTGTGGTCGGATGAGCAGGAGGGCTGGGCAACCGGTCAAGGATGGAATCTCGAGGATGGACCCGGCGAGCTGCTTCACAGGCTGGCGTTGTTCCAGGTCATCGGCATTAGAATGGATCAGCGCGAGTCCTTCTTGCGGTGGTACAAGAACTCGCAGATTATGACTGTCGAGGGCATTACCGCTCAAGACCTGAAGATGCCATGCGCCTTCACGACTATGTTTGATGCGGGGATACAAGAGCGCCTCACGCAGGTGAGATGCTAAGTATGTAGGAGGATGCTCCGTTCTATACATATATTAATCCGTGCATGGATAGATAGCAAGTAGGAATGACCCGTGGGTTATTTTTCTTGTAATGACTGTTAGTTCCGACCATTCCCTCTCCTGCTTCCCATGTATGGCCCCATAGGTAGGCATGTCGCTTTTCGACGTGAAGAAGGTGGAGAAGGCGATGGAGGAGGCGGCGAAGGCGGCGAAGGAGGCAGCGAAGCTGCTCGAGGCACCCAAATCACGAAAGTCGGGCTCGTTGCCAACACCAGGCGGCCCCTCCCTCGGGTCGTCCTCTGCTAACCAGCGGCAGGGAAAACGTACCAGCGAGAAGGTGACCAAGAAGATTGAGAGCGTGTACGGGCAGGCTGTGTTGGCGAGCCGGGAGGCCTTCAAGAGCCTGGAGGTAAGTTACGATTTGGGAGGGCTGTACGGACCTTTCCTGTGGCTTCACTCATTAACACCTGCAACATAAAAGCGCTGTGGTTGTACGTTTGGATTGCCGACCTTTACCATGTGGCAACTTTGTTACACGCTGCCCCCCCCCCCCCCCCCCCGCACACACAGCCCTCGGTGATGGAGGCAAACGACTTGAAGATCATCAAAGACATGGGGGAGCACATCCGGTGCCTGCTGGGCGTGGGACAAGGTGCGCCCATGGAGACAGTGAAGGCCAGGCTGCGGCAGGCGGTGCAAGTGAAGGCTAAGAACATGCGCCGATGCAGCAAGCCAAGTGAGTTTTGCAAGGGAAATCAAGGGGCATATGTCCTACCTTTAAGCGGGTTTTACCTTTCATGACACACACGCCTTATTGCGGCCTGTTTTACGTTGTTACACGTTGTTTCCCCGCCCTTGCCGAACCCATGTCTCCTTCCATCCCTCCCGTTATAGAAGACGTGAACCTGGACACGGTCGATGAGGAGGAAGGCCTGCAGCCGGCATCACCATCAGCACCGGGTGAGGAGGAGGAGCCAGCCACGCCCGAGGTGCCCAAGCCGTACATGTGGGCTAAGCTGCCTGGAGGGGACACGGAGAAGTACGCTGCGGCTGACAACCACCTCGACTGGCTGGCGGACTTCGACATAGGGGACAACGCAGGGTGCATCCTTGTGGGAAGCCTGGACAAGGACGAGTTGGTTCCGGTAACACTTGGCTGCGGCCTGCTGCTGGACCCACTGGTAAGTAGCCTTGCTGGGCTTTTACATCTGTGTCGTTACGTTCTGGCTGGTGCCGCAAGTATGCTGCACCCCCTTGAGCTCATCTCTTGCAACAGTCGCATACCTTCTGTCCTGGCAACCCCATGCGCGAAACCAAGGTTTGTTCGATTGTATGTTCCCGCACTGACGTGTTAGGACGCCAAGACCGACCCGGCGGCTACCGTTGACGTCCTGGTCTTTGGCATCAACACTAACGTCAAGCGCACCAAGAACGCTTACATGCCGTCCAGTGTGGGCGGCAAGACTAGCACCTTTGCGCTGGAGGAGAAGGACAAAGACGGCAAGCTGGTACGCAAGCTTGCAAGGTCCCAGACGGTAAGCTGTAGGGGGTATCGTTGACATCCTAGGACCCAGGGTGTGTGTTAAAATAACCCGCCAGTGCTCACCCTTCAATCTCTTCGCAACTGTTGTCTTCCAACCCAAGAACCGAGCAATCCATTTAGGTCTTATTGCAAGCAATTGCCTAACTTTCATCTTATCTTGTCCTTACCGTGTCATGCAGGTCAAGTGGCCTGTCATGGGCATCCTGCCCACATTCAATGGTAGCACCGGCATAACGGTGTCCATGACTTTCTACGGGACTCGCGAGAAGGACATCGCCACCATCAAGACGTGCCTAGCGCAGAAGCGGCAGGCACGCGCTGTTGAGGGGAAGTAGTAGAATGCGTAGGCTTGTGTGGCGTACAGCGTCCTTGGTTTTACCCCTTTACTCCCTGGACGGATGGCCACATAGTGAGGATCATAATACGACTCTGAGATGCACAAAGGAAGCACACCGGTGCATGGCATGGGGAAGGCATCTGGACCAACGAGACAGCGTATTGCCTGTTGTGACCATGTGCGTCGCAGATGGATGCTTTGCGTTAAACAGACTGTACCTATGTGTTTCACATCATGCCGTCGAAATGACAATTCGGCCCAGGTGCATAGGGCATAGCGTGGGGGAGCGTGTTGTGTTCAGTTGCATTACCGCATAGCATTACGTTAGGACACCCGTTTTTACCAACACACATGTTGCTTCATGTTGGAGACTCAGTAATTGGCTTTGGAGTTGCTTGGTGGCAGAGTGAAGGAGCTAACCTGTCATACGGCATATATATTCCTCTACTTGTTTTGGATGTTAACTGGGCAGGCCCTCATCTGGGGCGTAGTGCCAACACCTGAAGAATGACGAAATCAAAGAAGAGCATAAGAGCCCTAACTTCTTGCTTGTTGTGAATGAATGGTTGACAGTTACAATAGTTCGTGTTGTGTCCTTCTGTCATGGTGCTGCCAAGCAGCATTCAACCGTCAACTGGGCTCCTCATTGGCCCTTTTTAACCTGACGACCCCTGTTTACCTAATCAGTCAGCACACGGGCTCCCAGCTAATCCCTTTTTATCTAATCCGTCAGCACTCGTGCACGGCTCCCAGCTAATCCCTTTTTATCTAATCCGTCAGCACTCGTGCACGGCTCCCAGCTAATCCCTTTTTATCTAAGCCGTCAGCACCCGTGCACGGCTCCCATCTAATCCCTTTTTATCTAAGCCGTCAGCACCCGTGCACGGCTCCCATCTAATCCCTTTTTATCTAAGCCGTCAGCACCCGTGCATGGCTCCCAGCTAATCCCTTTTTATCTAAGCCGTCAGCACTCGTGCACGGCTCCCAGCTAATCCCTTTTTATCTAATCCATCAGCACCCGTGCACGGCTCCCAGCTAATCCCTTTTTATCTAATCCGTCAGCACTCGTGCACGGCTCCCAGCTAATCCCTTTTTATCTAATCCGTCAGCACTCGTGCACGGCTCCTAGGTAATCCACGTTAATCTAATCTGCCTGTGCATGGTTTTGGCTTAACATGGATTACAGTAACCCCAGCAAATCCAACTTGAACCATTCTAATCGGATTACCATGCTTGCACAACTGCACGTGCACAGTCGGATCAGATCAATTGTAATCCCTTTCGATCCCCGTTAAGTCGGAAATCCGGAAATTTTGATCCGTGGTAATCCGGGATCATCCAGCTCAAAGTCGTGTACACGAGAACGGATTAACAGCCAAAACAGCTGCGGATTAACCCATAGGGGCCGTTGGTAGGGGATGGTAGGCAACTGCTGCTTCACCGCCACGTGGCTAGCCATCATGCTATATATAGGGCTACTATCCACATCTCATGCGCATGCTCCTGAGCTGCACAAGCCGCAGTGGATGTAAGCTCAGGTTACTGGTAGCCTAGGAGCATGTGTCATTCCCAGGTGAGGTCACCCCCCTTTAGCGGTGGCTGACATTTTGCTCCTAGTGAATGGTCTTGTTGCAAACCACACTACTATAATGATTGGGGCTGACGGATACCCCTAGCCTGCCAGTAACCTGCGCTTACACCCAATGTGTCTCATGTGAAAGGCACATGCAATAATTAATTATACCGGGCTTGCCCTGGCGTGCCTTAAGGGGGCGGGCTGTGGTGAAGGTTGACGGGTTCCCCCTCCACTGTACATCCTTCACCACATGTACAGCAATGGAGTAGTAGCTAGTGGTATTTTGGTGGGCGTTGGCCTCCTGGGTCTCCTTGGGGGAGGACTCGTTCCATCCGCCTTCGGTGCCTCACTATGGCGTTGAGAAAGCTGACAGCATTGTCATGCAGCTCATCACAGCATGCATGTGCGGTGAGTGTGTTGACACCCAGGGCAAGTAGGAGTGGGTGCAGATACTTGCGTAATGTTTAACTGAATAAAGGCACATGCACTTAAGCTTGGCCAGCAGGTGGCTGGCTGTGTGGGAGCGGTGAGCCAACACTTGCGAGCTATTAAATGAAAGGGCTGCTGTCGATTATACACTGCTTGCACACTGAACTCTGCACCTACCACAGCGACCCCTTGACAACCCTACCCAACAAGATTATTACAGGGTCAGACCCCAATCACATTTACATATCGTCTGCTAATTAACGCACGATTGATAAGGATCCCGGAGTGAAGGGTACCCTGGAAGACATCACAAAAACCGCACCGACTTCTGTGCCTACCATGGTGAATTATGTGCAGCCAGCCACGCACATACACACACACACCTTGCATCACAGACACAGCTAGAGAAGAAGGGGCATACATAACATGCATGGCAGGTAGGCATACTTTCATCCTATTGTATAGCATCAATGTCTGGACCACAGCGCAACATACATTTGCTGGCTGAGCAAGGACCACCATAGGCAATCTGTGCAGCACATCCTCCCCCCACCGCCCCTACACCATCAGGCACCCCCCAAACGTGTTTTCTCAGGGTAGGGAGTCCCGTATGTTGTTTTCACTTCACTGCCATTGCACCCGCGATGCGCATGAGGATGGGATCTTGCGTTTTTGGGCGACTTTTGGGGGGCCGGACTTGGTTTCGGAGGATGCAACCTCTTCATAAACGTCCATTTGTCTCCATAGACATCAACACCAAAGGTGGTTCGCTATAGTCTAGGCGGTTAGGATACGAGATTCTCACTCTCGAGACCCGGGTTCGAGTCCCGGTAGCGAAACTTTTTTCTAGTGTAGACAAGAGCAGACAGCCCGGCAATGCCGGGGCAATGGGGTCGTCATCGTATAGTGGTTAGTATCCCCGCCTGTCAACCAAAAACTGCCCGCGGGAGGCCGGGGTTCGATTCCCCGTGACGGCGTTTTGCGCTTTTTCCTTGTAATTTGGCAGTATCTTTGATATCCGCTGATGTGTTTGCTTGGCTTGTCCGCTTACCCGTCTACTCAGGCCACTTGGCCAGCAGTAGTCTGACGGCTGCCACATACAGACACCTGGGCGTGTATTCCTTGCACTGTTGAACCTTCAGTGTGCATAGACATGTCTCATACCCACTCTTATTCGCGCACTGTCTTTGGAATGAGCCGTAGGTGAATGACGCGCTGCATATGAATCACTCGAACAAACATTTTATGCTTCCGCTTTGGGTGGTGACTGAAGTAATGACGGGAAACAGAACATGCCTAAATAAAGTGCAGAGGAGGCGTCATGGCAAGAAGTAATGGGTTTCTATTACTCTAAGCTCTGCCATTTCTGTGCACTTGGACGGTCCTGCGCCTGGTGGTGCAATGCCGTACGAAGCTGGTACACACGCTTTAGGCCGAACCCAAGTTAAGTCACAAGGGACAAATCCTTGTCCTAAAAATACACTTTCAGGCAAGGTAACAATGTGTCGAGTGGGCTAATAACTTTCAGACCAACACGGGGCCTTTGCTACGAGATATAAACCGATGGAATTGTGCCTATGAAAACGGCTCTCTACAAAAGTACAATAGTGGCATTTTGCTTTGGGCGTCCGACTTGCCGCCATAACTGAGCATCAGCGGTTCTTGCGTGCACACTTCTGAATTGCACACGCTTGCGGTTGGAACAGCCCATTGAGAACGCCAGGAATGGAGGAATGGAGCAACATGGGTCTCGGCGGTGGAGAGTTCAGTGCAGATTCCACAAACAAGCTTTCAGATGGTAGGCAACTGCTGCTTCACCGCCACGTGGCTAGCCATCATGCTATATATAGGGCTACTATCCACATCTCATGCGCATGCTCCTGAGCTGCACAAGCCGCAGTGGATGTAAGCTTGAGTTACTGGTAGCCTAGGAGCATGTGTCATTCCCAGGTGAGGTCACCCCCCTTTAGCGGTGGCTGACATTTTGCTCCTAGTGAATGGTCTTGTTGCAAACCACACTACTATAATGATTGGGGCTGACGGATACCCCTAGCCTGCCAGTAACCTGCGCTTACACCCAATGTGTCTCATGTGAAAGGCACATGCAATAATTAATTATACCGGGCTTGCCCTGGCGTGCCTTAAGGGGGCGGGCTGTGGTGAAGGTTGACGGGTTCCCCCTCCACTGTACATCCTTCACCACATGTACAGCAATGGAGTAGTAGCTAGTGGTATTTTGGTGGGCGTTGGCCTCCTGGGTCTCCTTGGGGGAGGACTCGTTCCATCCGCCTTCGGTGCCTCACTATGGCGTTGAGAAAGCTGACAGCATTGTCATGCAGCTCATCACAGCATGCATGTGCGGTGAGTGTGTTGACACCCAGGGCAAGTAGGAGTGGGTGCAGATACTTGCGTAATGTTTAACTGAATAAAGGCACATGCACTTAAGCTTGGCCAGCAGGTGGCTGGCTGTGTGGGAGCGGTGAGCCAACACTTGCGAGCTATTAAATGAAAGGGCTGCTGTCGATTATACACTGCTTGCACACTGAACTCTGCACCTACCACAGCGACCCCTTGACAACCCTACCCAACAAGATTATTACAGGGTCAGACCCCAATCACATTTACATATCGTCTGCTAATTAACGCACGATTGATAAGGATCCCGGAGTGAAGGGTACCCTGGAAGACATCACAAAAACCGCACCGACTTCTGTGCCTACCATGGTGAATTATGTGCAGCCAGCCACGCACATACACACACACACACACCTTGCATCACAGACACAGCTAGAGAAGAAGGGGCATACATAACATGCATGGCAGGTAGGCATACTTTCATCCTATTGTATAGCATCAATGTCTGGACCACAGCGCAACATACATTTGCTGGCTGAGCAAGGACCACCATAGGCAATCTGTGCAGCACATCCTCCCCCCACCGCCCCTACACCATCAGGCACCCCCCAAACGTGTTTTCTCAGGGTAGGGAGTCCCGTATGTTGTTTTCACTTCACTGCCATTGCACCCGCGATGCGCATGAGGATGGGATCTTGCGTTTTTGGGCGACTTTTGGGGGGCCGGACTTGGTTTCGGAGGATGCAACCTCTTCATAAACGTCCATTTGTCACCATAGACATCAACACCAAAGGTGGTTCGCTATAGTCTAGGCGGTTAGGATACGAGATTCTCACTCTCGAGACCCGGGTTCGAGTCCCGGTAGCGAAACTTTTTTCTAGTGTAGACAAGAGCAGACAGCCCGGCAATGCCGGGGCAATGGGGTCGTCATCGTATAGTGGTTAGTATCCCCGCCTGTCAACCAAAAACTGCCCGCGGGAGGCCGGGGTTCGATTCCCCGTGACGGCGTTTTGCGCTTTTTCCTTGTAATTTGGCAGTATCTTTGATATCCGCTGATGTGTTTGCTTGGCTTGTCCGCTTACCCGTCTACTCAGGCCACTTGGCCAGCAGTAGTCTGACGGCTGCCACATACAGACACCTGGGCGTGTATTCCTTGCACTGTTGAACCTTCAGTGTGCATAGACATGTCTCATACCCACTCTTATTCGCGCACTGTCTTTGGAATGAGCCGTAGGTGAATGACGCGCTGCATATGAATCACTCGAACAAACATTTTATGCTTCCGCTTTGGGTGGTGACTGAAGTAATGACGGGAAACAGAACGTGCCTAAATAA